CAACCCTGCAGCCTAGAAGAGGCAGAGTCAGTGGGAGTGGATGGATGAGCTCTTCGCAGGCCCTTCCCCTGCCACCTGCACCCCTTGATGTTTTTTTCCCCCTATGGGTCACAATCTTTTTCACAGGAGTCTCCTACGACCATTGGCAAGCACAGATGTTTACATTACTACTGATAACAGTAGCAAAATTACAGCCAACAGGTAGCAATGAGGTGGTTTTATGTCTGGGGTCACCACAACATGAGGAACTGTATTAAAGGGTCGCAGCGTTAGGAAGGTTGAGAACTACCGTGCTAGCTCAAGACAGTCATAGACAAAGGCAGTCATCCCTCAGCCTTCAACAAAAACCGAGACAGCAAAACCGGAGAGGATTGTATTTAAAATACAAAAGCTGGAGAGGATTGTATTTTAACAAGTGAATGGAGTGTGTGGGTTGCCTTTCCTTCCTAGGGTGTGTGTGTGTGTGTGTGTGTGTGTGTGTGTGTGTGTGTGAGTTTATGCATACCACATGTGTGTGCAGGTATCCACAGGGACCAAATGAAGGTGTTGAATCCCCCAGAACGGGAGCTACAGAGCGTGTTAGTTGCCTGGTGTAAAGGCTGGGAACTGAACCTGAGTCCTTGGCAAGAGCGAGAGAGCGGCAGGCGATCCTGGCGGCTGGGCTGTCTGCCGTGCCCCGCCCCCCCCCCCCAACTACTAGCATAAATCATGTAAGAGAGAATGGTCTAAACAACGGCACGTCTGAATGAGTGTTCCTACAGAATAAATGTGTGAAGATAGTAAAAGCAGTTAGCGTCACACGCCTGTGGCAGTCTTAAAGTGTGTCTACGGCTTCACACGCGTCCTGTCACAGGGGGATTGCTACCGATATTCTTAATTCTTCCTTGAATATGGCTGCGAGTACTCGTTTCCAAGGGGTACAGGATGATCGATACGACCCGAGCTTTTGTGGATGGTGACTGGCACTCGAGTGCCCCATCCACAAACCAACAAACACAAACTTAACAAAGAACGCTCTTTGGATGATGGGCATGTTAATCTGCTCCCCATCCACATAGATGGCTTCACACCCAAGCGGAAGCCAGGCCTGGCTCTGGCCCCTTCCCAGGCTCCCAGGAAGCTGTAGGCGTTCGCTCAGCTCTAATTAATTAGTGTGCATCTGGGAACTCTTCCAATAGACTTTAGTGACAACAAAAATTCCAAAGCTGGGTTCATTGTGTGTGTCTTAGAAGAGACACCCCCCCCAACCTAATTGAGCCTTCACTCTTACTAATATGCCCATAGCTGGAGCTGTGTACCTCAGGGTCAGTGGCCTCCCGACTCTACAGATCTCACCATGTCCTGGAAGACACAGTGCCCCTGGGCTCCGTGGGGACACAGTCAGCCTTCCTGAAGCCGAGAACACAGAACAATTCCATTCAAGAGGCAATCCCGGACAGTAAAGAAAGATGACAATAGAATAGCTAGCGCATTGCTTCGCGCCTCACAGTTTGTCTTTAAAGTGGGCGTTTGTGATCAGCTCAGAGAAGAACCAATCCAGCTGGTTTGAGATTGGATTTTTCAGCTTTGAACTTTAGCCATAAACAACTGACTTCCATGGAAATACTCAGCCTCCGTACTTGATAGCAAACTGGCCCTTTGTGAGAGCTAGTCTAAATACCTGGCTAGCCACTTTAGCCTGTGCTGTTGCAGTTTCCGTCACTGGAGAACCGCCAAGAGGCCAGGGCTGAAGCAACCCCATGGCTGTCCTTAGCTGCTGAGTGCCATGGTCCACATCAGCCCGATAAGGACTTCCCTGGGCACACAGAAAGGACTTTCAGGGGCAACAGCCCCCATTCTCTCCAATAAAGGGAACCCCCTGGGCTGCAGGGACACCAGAGCCGTTAACCCCAGGCATATCGAGGACTCATCATCATGGAACTGTGCAGGGGCAGAACAGCCACCTCAGAGGCAGCAACACCCACCGGAAGCCTGCCCAGTTATGGGAGGAACAAGAAAGAGGAGGAGGAACCACAACGCATCACTCCGCTTGGACCCACGTGTAAGTGTAACCGCTCTGAGGGAAAAGGTGTCCTGGCAGTCAGGATTCAAGGGGTCCCAAAATCACACACCGTACAACAAACCTCACACAGCAGATTTATTGGGGGAAAATGCAGGAAGGGGGCTGCCTCTGTCGGGGACAGATACAGCAAAGAAATAGCAAAGCTTTATATAGGGTTCCTTGGGGAACAGAGTTTTTCAGGGTGGAGATTTCCAGGGTGGAGATTGGTGGGTTTTTAAGCCTCAGGCTTTTTACCCTACACCATATTCTCCAACATGCCAACTCACCTGCCTCATGCCAACACTGAAAGATGAGACATAAGTCCTTCCTGCCCCAGCCCACTGGGTCTCCTCTACATTGGCCTCTGCCTGAGCCCAAATGTGGCTTCAGCACCGCCCTTCCCAGGGATTACAGCGATGATGCTGTTCAGCTGGAACCCCTGCTTGGCCCTGCACAAGCTGGGAAACCCCGTCTGCCCTCCTCCAGCCATCTCAGGGACAACTTGTGAGGAGACAGTTGTCTGAGTCCAGCCCTCTCGGGGACAACTTCTCTATCTTGCTGGCAGGATCAAACTAAGATCATGTTCCCAGGCCCAGGAACCTAGTCCTATCCTGATTTATGGAAACTCCCTTGCCCAACTCCTTATGTTAAACGATGTAAACAATGAGACAGCCCATCTTGTTCCCTCTTGCTTTATGGTTTCATCCTTCAAATATGCTGCACAATGTCCCTTCAAGCTTTCAGTTCAGCTCCTGAGTCGGTTCTGTGGCCCTATTGATCAGTAGCAGCTTGATTACAATGAATTTTTGTCAATCTGATTTATGCCAGATTTAAGAGGACCCAACAACACCCCCAACCCTACCTTCACTGGGAAGCCTCCAGACAAAAAAAAGGAACCAAAAGCTCCGTTCTGCTTTGTTGGCAGATGTTGCAACCTCCTCCCCTGATGCTCCCAGCCACCCAAATCCCCACGTAAGTGCTCAGCTCTTGACCATACTTGGGCACTAACCACGCTTATAGATAAGATGTCCTCACCCTTTGCCTACAGTCTATAACACTTCCCTGCCCTAGCCCCATTCCTTGGGACCAGTGAGCTCTCCCAGGAGCAGTGCCTAACAAACCTGCATTTATCTGCTTTTACTCTGGTCTGATCTGGCCTATATTTGTGTCACTGAAAAAGAAAAGGCCTATTAGACAGCCTCATTGTCTCTCGTCTCTGGTGGTTCTAACTCTGCGGTTACCTTGGTGGTTATAACTTATCAGAACCCATTCTGCGCAGAATAAAATCCAAAACATCCCTAGGCCTGCCTGCCTCACATCCAACCTCCTGCCCACAGACTGTGCCTCCTCCCATCTTCTCTCTCTTGTATCTAAGATTTTGGCACTCCCTAGTTCATCACGGGGAAAAACAAAAATCCTTCTCACGTGTAAAGACCAAACCCCTGCTGCCTCTTTCATAATAAAAATTTTCTGGAGAGAAACAACATACATCTGTTCACCCCAAATAGGGAGCCCAGGACAGACCAAAGTATGGACACCAGCAAAGTCCAACTAGGCGAATAGGTCCAACTCATTGGTTGGACCTAATCAAGCTCGGTGGGTGACGGTTACTTACAGATGTGGGTATAATTCAAAGACATCTGTATCACCAAAGCCCGCCCCAGCATGCGTGACATCTCACAAAAGCTGGGAACCTGAGCACACAGCACAGCCTGCAGGCCGCTCAACAGGTGGGAGAGTGTGCTTTGCAGGTGGCTCTGGTGGTCTCTGATTCTTCCCCTTGGCTGGTCTCAGATTCTCCTTCACCCTTTGGCTCCTTTAAGAGTGACTCTCAGCACCTGCTGGTCAGGAAAGGTGAGCCTAGTGAATCTGGTCAGTTTCGGAGACTTCCTGAAGCTCCTTTGAGTTGTTTACATTCTAGGTTAAGGAGAGGAAGGAAACTGTTACTCCAGAGAGCAGAAGCTGGAAGAGTTATCCACCTTGTTTCTGTTCTCTAGCCACCAAGGGAAGGAGCACCTTGTCTAAGAGGAGCCCGGTGTGGAGTGTGGGCCTGGTCTGAATTTGGCTCAGCTGGACGAAAAAGCCACTGAAGGAGCTAGATGGCTCGGGGTTAGGGAAGAAACAGAAGTGGGGTCCACAGCAGGACGCCCACCTTTAGGTCCTCAGCGTGCCTTGAAAGATGAGTTAAACTCAAGGCCATCTGGACAGTCACTTAACCGCTGTTACATTCTTATCTGAGAACTGCTGTTTTCATCGTGGGCTGGAGTGTGACTCCGGAGTAGAGCCTATGCCTACAAATGCCGCCCCGGGGTGGTGGAGAGGCTCAGCAGTATTGATGGCAGGGCTCTGTGGGAGCCCTTGAACTTAAGAAGGTGCACCCGTTGCTGCTCTGGCTACTTTTATGTCAACTTAACACAAGCTAAACTCATCAGAGAAGAAGGAATGTCAGTTAAGAAAAGAATGCCTCCGTAAGATCCAGCTGTACGGCACTTTCTTAATTAGTTATTGATGGAGAGGGTCCGCTGTAGTGCCATGCCTGGCCTGGTGGTCCTGCGCTCTGTAAGAAAAACTGAGCAAACCACAGGGAGAAAGCCAGTAAGCAGCGCCTCTCCATGGTTCCTGCATCAGCTCCTAGCCACAGGTTTCAGCCGTGTTTGAGTTCCTGGCCTGACTTCCTTCAGTGATGCGCTACGATGTTGAAGTAGTCCAAATAAACCATTCCCTCCTCACGTTGCTTTCATCACAGTGCTTCATCTCAGCAATAGAAATCCTAGGACAATTGATGTCTTCCCCCTCCTACCCGGCAAGGTCCCTGGGGGCCCAAGATCTCCACCAGGGGGCAGCACAGGATCGTTTACGGGCTCTTGCAGCGTGGAGAACCCCTGGAGACCCAACGTCAGACACTGTCGCGCCCTCCCGGGGAGGGGAAAAGCCGGACAAAGCTATGACGTCAGCACCCTACAGAGGGGCTCAGATGTCCTCAGAGAACACACACCGAGGTCCGCCCCCTCGCCCAGTGCGCACTTTGGAGTCTCCAGTTCCCTGGGCGACGGTCAACACAAGCAGTGCAGCAAAACACAGCTGGGAGCAGAGGCTGCGCCAGCCTGGAGAGTTTCTAGCCCCACCAGCTACACTGAGCTCCGGATCCGCCGGGGGACGATGTGGGAGGCCCTCATGCAGGCTTTCCTGGGTTAAAACGAGAGTCTCAGCCGGTCTCTCTTTTCTCTCTTCTCTTCCTCTCCTGCTTCTCCAGTCCCCCATGGGCAGCCAACACACTGGGCTCCCAAGAACTACTACAGGCGGGTACCGACTGCCCCCTAACAGGCCGCCTGCCTCAGTTTCCGGGACCCGGGATGGCCCTGCAGCAAGCAGGGCTCTCGCTGGTGGCTGCCATAGGATCCCAGCCCCGGGTGTGCAGCAGGACCAGCTGTGGAGGGAGCTTGTGGAAGCCGAAGAGCGAGGCCAACGGCGTTGGTGAGTGTCCTGCCCCTGCCTTGCTTCTCCTGGTACCTGCCTGCAAGTGTGAGAAGGTGCTGGGCCCAGGGCCTCATTCCCAGCAGACAGCTGGGAATACAGACATTGAGAGGGCTCACATCCCACAACCAGCTCTCCAGCTGGACAGGTCAACGTTAGAGGGGAGGAAGCTGGCAGCGGGAAGCCATGGGAAGGTGGCCTTGGGACAGGGCCTCCTCCACGCCTTCATCCAGTGAAGGGTAGCAGGGGAAGCCGGGAAGGTTTGGTTCCAAGGTTGCCTCCCTTCAAGGACTCCAACGGAAGCAGGTAGGCCGGGCAAGTGTGCCTGCCGCCTCTGAGCTGTCTGCCCAGTGTGAGTTTGAAGTTTGTAAGACAAAAACCAGAGAATGTGGAGTGGCTGAAACACAACCGAAAGGAAGATGGCTACAGAATGACCACCCAAAGCTGCTGTAAAAGTCTAGTTTCCCAACCGCACATGCCCGTGGTTGCAGTTTCAGTTTCTTTTTCTCCTTTGGCCCGGCGATCAAACCCAGGTCTTTGTAAAAGCAGCAGACACTCTGTCACAGAGTTCACCCATATAAACAGATATCAGAATTTCCATACTCTTCAGGGCAGAGTGGTATTCTTTTGCGCGGATATACCACATTTTCTTATCCATTTCACTTCTCATCATTTCCGCATTTTGGCTGTTGTTGAGTGTGTCACAGAGAACACAGGAGAGCAGATTTCCCTTCAAGATCTGGCTTCCCATCATTCAGATAAATACTCAGAAGTGGAATAAGAAGCCAGTTCTGTTTTTCTGTCTGGAGGGACTGGTTTTCGTAAGGGCTGCGCCACTTTGCATTTCCATTAACAGAGTGCAAGGATTTTGGTTTCTCCTCAACCCTGCTGGTGCTCCATGGTTGTCTTTGGTCCCAGCCCCCCCGCCACTTGGTCAGAAGCACAACCCTTATAGCTGAGGATAACATTGCTCTCAAGCTGTGTGATCAGACAGTGTCTCTAGGGAGACAGAAATGGGTGTGGAGGGTACTCCCTGATGCTACAGAAGTGATTTTAAGTATTTGGGGTTCCTATGAATATCTGGCAGCATCTGTCCTCTGTGTTGGTTGTGGTGTGAGACCAGAGGGGAAGCACAGACACAGGCCATTCACTTTCTCCCCAACATGGCCTGAAAACAGGAAGTGGGGTAAGAGTCTGTATGGAATAGGCAACTTGAAGGCAGCTTCTCTGCCCTCTGACCCCCCAAAAAGATTTCATTATATATATATATATATCATTATATCCATATATATATATATATATATATATATATATATATATATATATATACTGGAGAGATGCCTCAATGGTTCAGATCACCTGTTCTTTCAGAAGATCCAGTAGCACCGGTATATAGCATCTCATGACTGCCTGCAATGCCAGCTCTAAGGAAGCTGGTGCCCTCTTCTGTTCTCCACAGGTACTGTACACACATACAGACATACACATACATTTGTTAACAACTTTTAATACGTAAAATTGAGGCTTAACATGGTGTTTTAGTTACCTTTCTATTGTGATAAAAACACAATGACTAAGGCAGCCTAAAAAATAGCATTTCATTTGGGGCTCACGGTCCCAGAGGGTTAGAGTTTATGATGGCTGTGGTAGAGAGCATGTCAGCAGGCAGGCCAACGTGGTGCTGGAGCAGTAGCTGAGAGCTCACACACTTGTCCATAAGCACAAGGCAAGAGAAGCCAACTAGGAATGGCATGGGCGCCTGAGGCCTCAACCCCCACCCCGGTGACATACCTCCTCCAATGAAGACACAGGTCCTAATCCTTTCCAAACAGTCCCACCAACTAAGAACCAAGTATTCAAATAAATGAGTGTATATGGACCATCATAAAGGTGAAGACTGGAGCCTGTAATCACAGCTTTGGGAAGGGGATCCGAAGTTCAAGGTTGCCAAGCATGGCAGTGTACACCTTTAACCCCCTCACTCAGAGGCCTAGGCAGAGACAAAGGCAGGCAGATTTCTGTGACTTTTTTTAAAGCCAGCCTGGTCTACATAGAAACTTCCAGGCCAGCTAGGACCATGGTAAGACCCCATCTCGGATTTAAAAAAGGAATAAAAAAGAAAGAAAAGGTCAATCCTTAGCTACACGGTGAGTAAAACAAACAAATTAATACATAAACATATGTATTACATAATACATATGTGAACTTGAAGTGTTAAACACAAATGGAGTAAGAAGAATTTGTGGAAATTATGGAAACAAGTTAGAAAAAGTATCTGGTCATGCTGTGGGCTGCTCCATAAATATGGTATGGGCACTTGGCATTTTTTATGGTTACACAGCCTTTTAACCCCTCCGTGGTGATATAAACACTTGAAGACATGGTGGGAGTTAATCCTCAGGATATTCCAGAAAGCAAGGAGACAAAGAAAACATTTGCATTCTTGTGCTTTCCTTTCCAGGGCTGAGAATTGGGGTTTCCTGAAAGACTATGACCCAATGGTAAGGCAGCACCCCCTGCCCTCTGGAAAACTGCTTGCAATGTAGACATTCCTTTTCCTCTTTCTTCATTTAACTGACTTTATTGAGGACCCAGCCCGTGCTCTGTGCTGGAGTATGGAGGAGAAGCACTGTATGAAGTAAGTAGGAGTCTAATGAGAAAGAAAATATTTATATGGAACATTTAGAAAAAAATTACCCAGTGTTTGCTGATTTATAAAAGATGTATTTTTTTTGCTGGGAGATGGTGATACACACCTTTAATCCCAGCACTCAGGAGGCGGGGGCAGGTGGATCTCTGAATTCGAGGACAGCCTGCTCTACACAGAGAATTCCAGGACAACCAGGACTATGCAGAGAAACCCTGTCTCAAAAAACCAAATAACTAAATAAATAAACAAATACGTATTTCATTTTTTTGGTATGCATCTGTGCATGTGTTTCTCTCAGTGTGTGCTTCAATATAGCTTGTAGGAGAGAAAGGAGAAGCTGGAAAAGTATATTTTTATAATATGGATGCTGAGAACTGAACTCTTGATGTTTAGAAGTGTGAGCCTTAGCCCTAAATGGCTGAGCCACCTCTCCATCCCCACTAGTTTTAATAAAAATAAAATCAAGTGAGCCAGTTGTGGATGCGCACACCTTTAACCCCAGCAACTCTGGAGGCAGAGGCAGGCCGGTCTCTGTAGTGCCAAAATAGTATGTTCTGAAGAGCAAGTCCCTGGCTAGCCAGGGCTGCGGAGTGAGACCGTGTCTCAAAACCAGAACTAAATAGCACAAGCAACTACAGGTGGTTCATTTGCCGCGGAGACTTGGTCCCTAGCTGAGGAGTCTGCTGTGTGTCAGAAGGTGTGCCCAGTCCCCCCCACCCCCGAGGAAAATGCACGTGGGTAAATGCTCTCCCTGAGTCTACACGTCCAGGCCATGCTCTACTCTGCCTCAAGTGGGTGCTGTCAGGATGCTTTGTGGCTCCCATCCTAGTTTCTGGTTCCAAACTGGGATGTGAGTACACAAAGAACGCCTGAAGTGTAGTGCACAGGCTCTTCGTTATCCCCTGGGGTGTGTGACCCGGACGCCTCCTCTCTCCAGGGAAATAAGAAGGAGCCGGAGGAGCTGCCCGCACACGTGCCCTTCTTCTCAGACACACTCCCCAGCTCCACGAGCCGTGAGGTGGGCAGCAGGGTGGAGACGCCCCTGGGGAGAGCCCTCAGCCATATGGACTTCTTCTTTGTGGAAGGCACCCGGAAGAGGAAGCCGGAGGACGAGCTGCAGCCCGTGTAGAGATCTCAGGGCCCCAGCACAGCAGGTGGGTAGGGAGCAAACTAACCCCAGGCAGCTGTCAGGGCTCTTGGCTCAGTCCCACACCGGGCAGGAGGGGGATTCCAGAAACCCTCCCAGGACGTCAGGACCTCAGCCCTTCCAGTCCAGGGCCTCAGAGACTCTGGAAAGGGACCCCAGTGTCGAGGTCAGGAGCGTGTCTACTGAGCTCAGTCTGACGGCAGGACCACGAGCTGCTCACAGCTTCTGCCTCGGTCTGTCTGTGTGCCTGCAGGTGCTGAGGTACTTCGGACGGGAGGTACCTCAGCAGGAGGCCAGAGAGGGCAATGGATACCCTGGAGCTAGAGTTAGAGATGGCTGTGAGCCACCATGTGGGTGTTAGGGATGGAACCCAGGTCCCCTGCAAGTGCTTTTAACTGCTGAGCCATCTCTCCAGCTCCAGTCTTGACTTAACCTTTCTTGCTCACTTGACTAGAAATAGCTCTTTGGGAGGCAGTGGTGTGGTGAGCAGAGTCACGCAAAGCATGCTCGTGCCCGAAACACACACTTCACCTCTACTGAGCCCCTCAAAGTTATTTCTGTACCCAACCAACCCAAGGCAGCCACTGGATGGTCATGTAATATTGCTCCAATATAACCGTAACTCCCTTAGGCCTGGGACCAGCCCTGAGCATTCTCAAGCCTGGAAGAATATTGGAGCAACATTTCAGCCCAAATCATGTTCATAGGCATTATTATTTTTTTACCACCCAAGAAGTTTGGAAGCCACACCGAACATGTGGACCAGTTCGCTGTGATGTGTGGCTCAAGGCAGCCATAGCCTTCCAGGCCTCCATCTCCGCAGTTACAGGATGGGCACGAGAGAGGAGGAGGTGGATCTCAAGGGCATCACAGGGGGCCGGTCTTCTTCAGAGTGCGTTCATTGGTCAGCAGGGACCGTACAGTGTAGCTCACCGCCTCCTTTCCCACACACAGACCTTGGCTGGAACATCACACTGAGAGAAGATATTGTCTACCTGTGTCCCAGTTTCTTGGACCAGCGGACTCCTGGGGCACAGTCTTCTTCCTGCTCATCACCAGAGTGCCAGGGCCAGCTGAACCAAGAGAGCTTGCAGGAAACTAAGACATCCAGTGTCCACTTCACTCTGAAGGCCACAGCCAGCCCCACATGCCTTCCAAGCCCTGCCTCATCTTCAGGTTCTCCAAGAAGGTGCCTGCTTCTGACCTTCACCGTCCCATCCATGGACTGAGGGAATGGAGATGGAGGGCCCACGAGCATCTTCTCAGGAAGTCTGGATGAGCAGGCAGACTCCAGACCTAGGCATGGAGAGGTGGTAGCAAACCTCCGCAGCATCACTGGAAAGCCTAGGGAGCTTCATCTAGACAGCCAACCAGGGCAGCTCAGAACCCACAGGCTGGGCAGCACCAGGGGTCCAGAAGGGACTAGGCTGGGAGCCAAGGGCCACAGCAGAGCGGGAGGGAGCCCCCTTCACTTCCAGCCACTGCTCCTCTGAGCTTCTCTGCCTGCTTCTGCTTGGTGGCAGAAGCTGCCTGTCTGCTTCTAGTGATAAAGGATGACCACTAATGTGGAGGCACGGAGCAACCTTTAGGCATCTTCATATATATATATATTAGAAATGATGAGGTAATGTTTAAGGGACCCATGACCTGGGGGGCTGGGGGATGCCCACTCACCAAATTTAGGGCAATTTGGACACCAAAATGAAGAAAAAGTAGAAAGCCAAACCTGGCCCTACACCATTGACTCATGTGCACACACAAACACATATACTCATAAATTAAAAAATAATTACATTGGGGCTGGAGAGATGGCTCAGAGGTTAAGAGCACCAGCTGTTCTTCCAAAGGTCCTGAGTTCAATTTCTAGCAATCACATGGTGGCTTACAACCATCTATAATGAGATATGGTGCCTTCTTCTGGCCTGTAGGCATATATGCAGGCAGAATACTGGATAAATAATAAATCTTCAAAGAAATTAAAAATAAAAAATTACATTGTTTCAAATACTGAACTCTCTTGTGTATTATAGAATAAAGAAGATCTAATGCTTAACAGTCATAGCTGAATTAGGTATGAATTAATAACGGCCATAGAAAGCTTTAGAGATTCATAGAGAACCCCATCAGTAGAAGGGTGGCTGACACGCTATGACTCCCATAACACTCTGGAGACAGCAGCTGCATCACCCAAGGAGCCCTCCCACCAGACTGATAACGAAGGGGTAAGTGTGACCTGAGAGCTGCCAGGAAAGGAGAGAGACACATCCTTGCCACTTTGTGAAAGACAAGGGAGCCGAGGCAGCAGCCCAGGTTAGAGGCCGTACAGCCTGGAACCCTGCCAAAGAGTATGGAGACCACCCTGGGGAATGAGACAGGTGGACAGCGAACTGCATCAGCGTCATGGTAAGGATCGGGGCAGTCACACTATGGCTGTCTACACAGCCCAGCTTCCAAACCTGAGTAGGGGTCATGTAACTGCGTGTGGGGCCTGCAAAAACACAAGTGTCCAAATGATAACACAGTAAGTGTTCAAAATCAGACACACAGTGGAGCCCAGGAGTCCTGGCAGCCCTGGCCACTGCTGTATCACGTGACTTCACTGCGGCTGTGGCTCTGAACATGCAGTGTGCACGACTTGTGCTTGGCAGGTTGTCACAGCACACAGCCTCAAGAGATGCTGCACGGAACACTACACGCAGGCACATACGTGCACATGTGTGCGCACACAACTGCTCTACTTGACTTGAGCTTCATTTCTGAAAAATCAGCGTGGCTTGCAATGAGAGCAGTTTCCAACAATTTCTAGATATCATTAAATGCACCGTGTCATCTTGTATGATTTATGTAAAGGGGAAGCATTGGCGATTATAAAATCAAAATATCAGGGGGCTGGAGAGATGGCGCAGGGGCTGAGAGTACTGGTCGTTCTTCCAGAGGCCCAGGGTTTGGTTCCTGGCGCCCACATGATTATCTGTAACTCCAGTTCCGGGGGTCCAGTTTCCTCTTCGGGCCCCGGTGGGCACCAAGCATGCCTGAGGTGCACAGGTATATACGCAGGCAGAGTACTCACACACATAAAATAAAGATAGAATTTTTTAAAAACTTAATAAAAGTCAGTCAGCTCTGAAAAATGTTGGAAATGTTCTTTTTTTTCTGTTCTATCAAATATTCAGCCAAGATTTAATTCTTTAGGTAAAAATGAACATGACCATCTCGCTATGCAAATTTTCTTTCATTTTAATAAATTATAAAATTATGTGTAAACCAAAGAATTGTGTTTCTTAAGCTTACTTGTTATCAGCAAATGTTCAATTTGTACACATTTCTTAAAGTTCAAGAATGTTTAGGGTTTGAGAAAAGCAGAGGGCAGGCAAACCATAAATCTTGGAAAAGAGAAACTATGTCCTTTATTCAGTAAGTAGCCACAAGGCAGACAAGCAGTGTGGTAAGAAAAGTGGGGGAGGGGAGCCTCTGGGAAAGGAAGGGAATCAAAGTGTCTGGAAAAGCATGCTTTGGAAAGAGACAGAGAAGACAGAGAAAAAGGAAAGCTGCACCGGCTGTGGGCGGAAGGAGACTGAGAAGCCCTGGTGGGATGGCCGTACTACAGTCCACAGACCTAAAGAAGCTAAGTAACAAGGTGGACCCTAGGGAGGATGTTCACTCAGAAGGGCAAGTAGGACAGACACTGGAAGCAGATGAAGAGAGGGAACAGGACAGGAGCCTACCATAGATGTGCTCTGGAAGACTCCACCCAGCAGAGCATCAAAGCAGATGCAGAGACTCCCAGCCAAACTTTGGGCAGAGCACAGAGTCTTATGGAAGCCTGGAGGTTAGAAGCACCCAGAGGAGACAGGAGCTCCACGAGGAGACCGACAGAGCCAACAAATCTGGGCCCAGGTGGTCCTGAAGTGACTGATGCACCAACCAAGACTGTGCATGGAAAGGACCAGACCCCTTGTTCAGATATAGCCAATTGGCAGCTCAGTCCCCATGTGGGTTCCCTAGTAAGGGGAGCAGCAGCTATCTCTGACATGAACACTATTGCCTGCTCTTTGAGCACTTCCCCCTGGCAGGGTGGCCTAGCCAGGCCACAGAGGAAGAGTATGCAGACAGTCCTGATGAGATTTAACAGGCTGGGGTCAGTCAGTTGATAGGGGAGGAGGGCTGCCCCTTTCTGAGGACTAGGGGAGGGGGATGGCAGGAAGAGGGAGAGAGGGTGGGACCAAGATAAGATGAGGGAGGGAACTACAATTGGGATGTAAAGTGAAAAAGTTTTAAATTTAAAAAAAGTTTAGATGTAGAGCACCTTTGTTCCCAGGATTCCTGCTGAGGGACAGCCACTTGGCATGATGCCCACAGTACACTGGCCAGTAGCTTATGTGCAGTGCATGGACACAGACTGCTAAGCCATACGTGGATGTGGAAAGTGTCTATTGATTAGCCCTACAGGCTGAGGCCGCTGTTTACCCAAATGGGATGTGAAATCCTTTTACCTTAGCATTTGCCCTCAAAATGGAACAAACTCCTACCTTGTAAAATGGAGTCACTCAGGGCAAGGCCCAGCTAGGAGGCTGTTTGCTTTACACAGTAAGGAGTAACTCAGAGCAGAGCTGGCTGGCTGGGATCTTTACTCTTGCCACCTTTTCTTAGGAGCAGAATTGCCTACTGATGAGAAACCTAGCCATAACATGGGGTCTCTGTCTCTCTCTCCAAAGATCTCCCTCTTAGGAGGGAAGCCACAGAGCTTTTTGGCTTCTTCCATGGGAAGCATGAGAATTTTGGTTGCTTTAAAAGCCCAGTTATGTTACGTGAACACATTTTTGTTTTAATCCTAGGTGTAGTGTAAGAGGCTGCTTCTCAGCAGGTGATTATGATTTGCCTCATGCCCTAGCACGAGCGTGATTTTTGCCATCTGCAGATAGCTTAATTGTGAGGACTCTGGAGAAGGTATAAATGGGAGATCCTGAGATGGCCTGTGGCAGGTGTTAGCCCTGTGGCCACCCCAGCAGCTGCTGCTGGTTCATCCTGCTGCTGCATTTGCTTTGCCGAATTGCTGGTTTGCTGGATATTTTGATGACTGAAAAGACTGGACTTTCCTCAGGGAACTCTTAAGTCCTTAATCGAGCAGGAAGTAGCCCAGAGAGGTCTGTGCTTCCTTCCCCTCTAATGTTCTTTCTCTCCCACCTAGTGTTGAAGGGTTGGAAGGGAAGTAGAACTATAAGAACCCAATTAATATATATATATTAATAATATATATATATATATATATATATATATATATATATATATATGTACATGCCAACAGGTGAGGGCTGGAGACGGAGGAAAGTGTGCCAGTTCATAGCTAACAGCACAGAATTAGCACAGACTGGCTGTGCACGCGCGCGCCGGTGCACTGTCTCATAACCTAAAGGGCCCTGTCCACGTTTCCTCCCTGTAGTGTTGTTTCTCCTGGGGAGCTATACAGAGGCACCAACTCACACCAGGTAGGGCTCCAACAGATCAAAGAACCAATCCCATCCAAGTGCAGCTTGGTCAACCAATGAGTTTACGGAACTTAAGTGGCTGGAGAAAACTGCATCACTCGCTGAAGTTGCCCCCCCCCCCCCCCACGCAATTTAGGGCAAGCTGTTTACAGTTTATAAACAATGGAGAGGAGAGGGGTCTTGTAACCCCCCCACTCCCTCCCCCCCCTTCACAACCCCCCACGGGATATTCTGACGCCCTCCCGATCTACTGCACACACACTCCTGCCCGCGCGGAAGTCTCCAGCACGTGATCACAGTAGCCAGACCGGGAGGAAACAGCAACGGACCACCACACCCTTACCAAAGGTTGTTTATTAACTCTTTTGACGACCTGAGTTAGAGCCCCAGAACCCACTCAAAAAGTCGGGCCTGTTGTATTTGTAATCTGAGCAGAGGGAACCTTTGAAAGAATGAGGCTCCCTGGGGCCTCCTGCCCCATTAGCCTAACTTGTTCAGTGAGTCCCAAGCCAGTGAGAGAACCTGACTCGAAAAGGAATAACAACAGAAAAAAGGTGGCCAGGACTAAAGGAATGGCACTTGAGATTGTCCATTGGCTTGCGCGCGCGCGCACACACACACGCATCCCAAAAACAATAAAAACTAATGAAAGGAGGGAAGGAAGGAAAGAGCGGGCTCTCAAATGGTTATGATGGAACAAGATTGTAATCCCAGCATTTGCCAAAAGGCTGTGAGAACATCAGTAGTTTAAAGCCAGCTTGCTTCACGTGACCGTCTTAAACCACACAATAAGAGGCCTAGTGTAATGGCACACACTTGCAATCCTAGCACTTGGAAAGCGGAGGCAGGAGGATCAGAAGTTGAAGGCTGACTTAAGACACACACACACACACACACACACACACACACACACACACACACACA